CCCGCTCATAAACTTTGGGCGGTTTGAGCGGTTTGGGCGGTTTTTTTTTAGGAAAAACCGCTCAAACCGCTCAAATCTTGCAGTAAAAAACGCTTTCAAAAGCCGCACAACCTTTTGTAAACAATTTTTTTACACAAGACTTGAGCAATTTTTGAGCGGTTCATAAAAAAAACGGTCAAAAACCGCGCAAGATTTAAGCGGTTTTAGAGCGGTAATCTAAAAAACTGCTCAAACCGCTCAAATCTTGCATCAAAATAGATGAAAAATCTCGAGTCGGGTGTTGATATGGAATCTTGTTTTCTCAGGCAAATTTGTCAGCATCGTTTCAATAAAAGAGGAAACAAACTGTGTGGACTGGATCCACGATCAACTGGATCGCGATTTGACTGAGTGCGCGGCTGAGGTGGAGATGCTGCATGGTTGCCCGACGAACGACCCAGCAAGCAATGGCGCCGCCAGTGACAGCTACTGGGCTCATGAGGAGGTGGAAAATGGACCCAATGACTGGTTTTATGACCCCTGCTGCAACCAACAAGCAAACCTACCCTCTAGCCCTAATGGTGTTTGCAACGCCCGGAACTGCGAATACAACCTGGGAGCTGATTTCTGCATTCGCTCGCCTTCCGTTCCGTGTTATGACAAACACTTTGATCAGACACTCTACGTTTCCAACCAGTGTTGCTACAACGAACAAGGGAATCTCTTAGACAGCCAGGCAGTGAACGGTACCGGTCGAATGAGTGTCAGCAAGGCTTCTTTCGGCAACTTGCACCGGTTTTTCAAAACTGAACTAGAGGCATACGAAAAATGCTGCGAAGATGATTTTCGCTGCGAGCTATTTCATCAGAACCGACCGGCGCTAGTTGGATCTTACAAGGGCAGCTTGACAATTCCTGTAACTTTTGGAGGACAATTCGAAACAGGAGATGGTGTTGGGTACACCTTTCTGGGCTTAGGAGTGTACACATTTCTGCAGACGGATCTGGACATTCCGACTACAATGCAAATAACTACCCGAGCTGACGGCGCTCAGGCTGTGGTGGCTGGCTTTGCGATTTCCTACGGGCACCACAAAATTGAAGTCATGAGGCCATACACCGTACCAGCGAACAAGACGGAGCGACTGCGCAACTACTATTTTGTCAATGACTTCATGGTTTTCACAGACTTGATGATCATCGATGCAGAGGATCCTTTCGACCTCTACTTTGGAGGAATCAATATCAAGAAGGAAACTGGCGGACGTTCAGTGCAAGTAACTGTTCCGAATGTGAATCTTTGTGTGAACATCTTCATGGCTCGCAACTACTTCAACCTCTATGTCACTGTGCCCGAGAGCTTCATAGGACATACCCAGGGACTCGTGGGCTTGCTGGACGGTAACCCAGGAAACGATTTCAAACCAAACTGTGAGCAAAATTGTTATGTTTTTTTTTCACGTTAGCTTCAAAATTTCAGCAGCACTATATACAACGTCGTGCTCTGAGTAAACGGCCGCCTGATAATTTTCTCATGTTTGTTACTTTGTCTTGAATCTGTATATCTTTTTTTCAGACCGATGGAAAGACGCCCTTGTGCAACCGGTGGAGCCAACCACTCTGCACGATGAGTTTGCTGAGTCTTGGAAAGTCGAGAACCCCAAGGATTGGCTTTTCGGAGAGTTTCTTTCAGGAATGATTAGCGCTGAGATCAATTCGGGCCCGGTGATGTACAACTACTCCATCCCCTCTGAGCAAACAGACGCATACGACCAAGTAAAATAATCATCTCGATTCATTAACTTTATACACATTCGGCGCAGCGCTGTGTCATATCAGGATATCCACTTTTTCCGAGCCTAGTTTTTCCCCGCAAAATCAGGGCCACAAATAGTAATCGAAATGGGTCGAGTGATATATCATCATATATAAGCCCTTTCATGCGTGATTCAAACGACATTGAAAAATTTTTTAAACGTTTTCTCAGTGTTCAGGAAAAAATTAGCTTGTTTTGTCTTTCAACTAAAAAAAGTACCACAAATAATCATCGGAATGGGTCGAGAGGTATATCATATTAGGGCCCTTTCAGTGGTGATTTGAGCGACATCAATTTTTTTTCGAAAAGTTGTCCCAGTTTCGAGTAACTAAAACAGGTGAGCATGCTTATTATAAAAAAACAGCATGGAACTTTGAAACTTTTGACAGAAAAAACTAATCTGCAAAAAAAAAACAATTTCTGCAAAAAAGGAACAAAATTTTTTTTTGAACTTTGCTTGTTTTTTTTCAGCCATTTTTGACCAAAACCTTTGCCTGATTTGACTATTTCACAGTGAATGTCGTATATATGTAAATATCTGATTTTCTTCGGATCAATTCGTCGCACCCCGCGCAAAAAAGAACAACAAAGTTTGTAAGAAAAAACATAAAAAAATCTTTTTTTTTGTATTTTTGTAGGAATATGATTGGATCATTCTGTGCTACTTCCAGAGCATCCTGGGATCTTTGTTGTTCCGACCATTGAAATTGGGGAGGAATAATGTATTCGGGTGTGTTTTAGTTTTTTGCTTTTTGTTTTCCACGCAAAATCAGGTACCAAAAATATTGTTCGGACTGGGTTGAGTGATATATCATATTAAAGACTTTTTATTCGTGATTCGAATCAGAAGTAAAATTTTCCAGGAATATTGTGATGAGAGGAATCGGTTTGAAATTTTTGACTTTTCGTCCTAACTCGAGCGAATAAAGCAAGCGACCAGGCTTACAACAGCTAATTAGCAGGCTAAAATTCAAGCCCTAAAAATTTAATTTCAAGTAGGTAAAATTAATTTTTGGAGTTTTGTTAGCTCCATTCTGGGAACCAAAATTTTCAAGAAATTTAAACTTTTCGTCTTTCATTTTTTTAAGTTTTTTGTCATTTTTCAACACAAATGTTTGTCCAATTTGCCTATATTACAATAACTGTCTAATTTGCCTAAAATATGTTTATACGTCAGATTTTTTTATCACAATGAGCAGAAAAAGTTAAGCTAAATTGAAAAAAAAGGACTTTCTAAACCGTAGTTTTTGTAAAGACTATGGTCTGAACATTCTGTGCTACTTGTACAGTAACCAGCTATTCTTGTTTTTCATCTGGTTTTGCTTTTGATGCCTAATAAATTTGAATCTATTGCACGTCGAGAAAAAATGGCAATTTTCTCGGCTTTTTTTCTCTCAAGTTGATTTTCTGCGCTCCTCAAACCATTTATTTTACCAATAACTTCTTTTTACCAATAACTTATTGGTTTATTTCATCAATAACTCCCCGCTATATCAAACTTGACCATATTATGATAAACGCTAACATCCTCGGTTGACCAAAAATGCTTGTCGTACAGTTTTGATTTATGAAAAATTGTTTATCATACGATTTCGCACAATTCCGTATACACAGAAAATGTTAAGAAAACTCTAAGATAAGCATTTTTTCATATATGAAAGTTGTATGACAAGCATTTTTCCACAAACCAAAAAGCTGATTTTTTAATAACTATGTTTCTCAAAAATTTTCGGATGTGTTCGTGACCAAACACAAATTACTAAAACCAAGGTTACTCAAAACTAGGGTCACCAAAAGGTTGATCGTCTTGCATTTACAATGCATTGGAAACAACCAAAAGTGAGTTCTTTTCACAAATCATACACTGAAAGTATCAAACTTTTAAACTTTGGCAACAATTTTCAAAGATGATTATCTTTAAAATAGGAATTTTCAATTTATCAGACATTGATCAAGGCATATATAAACATGCCATACAAAAACATAAAAGTTTTCAGCCTGTTTGAAAAACGTTTTCCAGGGAAATGGAAAAAATCCAGTTTTTGTAAATCCAGGACTACGTTATGCAGACAAAAATTTAAAATTTGCATAAAAAATTCCTTTTGGATTGTTTGTTTGAGTAAGAAGTCGATTTGTGGTTGAAGAAAAAACTCTTTTAGAGAAATTTCAATTTTACTTGAAAAAAGTTTTGTTGTCGCCATCAAAAAAACGATAGTCATACAATTTTCATATTGTATTTGGTTCAAATAGCCGCAGAAACTAGCTGGAATCTTTTTTCAGTGATTGCTTGAAATTGTATGAAAATTATATGACTAACATTTTTCCATACGTTTGATGTATGGAATTGTATGATGAGCATTTTTGGAGTATGGAATTGTAAGATAAGGGTTTTCGGTTTATGGAGGTCAACCCGGGACCTTCATCACCTTCATCATAAAATTGTTAGTATCTGAAATTAAACCAAGTGAGGACATTTTCGGTGGCTGCTTGCTGTAAAATTTTTCGTGTTTATGCTTCTTTCAAATACGAAATTTAAACGGTGGCGTTCAACAGTGCCGAAGTACATGACGCCGCGCTTGGAGAAACTTTTGTTTGTTTAACAAGCGGCTACAATTAAAATGGCGATTTTTCACTTTTCAACTTCCGTCTGTTTGAAATAATTTACTTGTCAGTGATTTTGGGACCAGTAAAAACTGTTAAAAACCATTTTCGGCACTGTTCAACAACTAATTACTTTTTGGCACTGTTGTACATCGGCACTGTTGTACTTTAATGGAATGGGTCATATTAGTAATCTGAAGAATTAATTTTTTTCTGCAGTTGTGTCATGGGAATTTGGCCTGTGAGTTGGGAGTTGTGAGGAGCGGGAATCAGAACTTTGCAGCCGACTTCCAAGACCTCGCTCAAAACCACATCCGAGGCCCCAACTCCTCTGATATCAGCATGCGATTTAGAGCCTCCATCAAATCAGGCGCCACAGTCCCCAAAAACACGTTCCACAGTGTGATGGTGGTTGTGATGATGCTGATCGGTCCATTTTTTATTACCATCTAAGCAACCATTGGTTCTGAAACGCGCCTGAAATTTCAAAAACTCCAAATTCCATCAAAATAAGGAAACAATTACCTTTCTATGGTTTAACATGGACAAAGAAAATGAACGATTTAGGATTGCGTTTCAGTAACTATTTTCGATCCATGCACTTTTGAATGTTCATGTGTGGGCCTAACTTTTGGTTATTATTCATACCAATTTCAAAAAACGAATTAGTCAACTCCAATTTTTCAAAAACTAGATTACCCTCCTAACTGTCTCTGACGGGCAACAAAGGATGAAATAAAAAAAGTATCGGCGTTGACTGATGAACATGATTTCGATTGTATATCAAATGGTGTATCAACAATAGGAAAACAAACGATCACTATAAAATCATCACAAGATTCTCTTCGAAGATATTACTAAGAATCCATTGCTATATTGATTTTGTGTTGAATAATCATGCATAAAATAATTTTTCATTTAATCAAATAGCCAAACTTGAATGTTGCCGTTTTCTAAAATCGAGGGTCTATTGATTGTTTGATTCCATTTCTCACGTAGAAATAGCTTCAGATTATTCAAATTGTTCCTTATAACTTTGATCAAAGGTATGATCTTATTAAAGCTTCGGATAGCAAGAACAATTCTTTTGATGTCTTGACAAATTAGTCCATTTGAAAAAATTATTGAAAAAAACATGAGTTCTACCAAGAATTGTTCATTGGTGTTATAAAACTTTTTTAAAAAACAGAAATATGCTTCTTAGACGAAATCAGAAAGAGCTTTGAATTCAGTATTAAATTGATATATTCAGTATTCCAATTGTAATTGGTACTAACCGGGTTTAATCAAAACAAATTAATGTTGGTATTATGCGGATTTAATCATTACAAATTAAAGTTGGTATTAATCGGATTAATTCATTTCAGATTGAAATTAAATAATAATCGGATATATTCATTTCAAAATAAAATTAGTATTAGTCTTATTGATTCATTACAAATTGAAACTAGTGTAAATCGGATTTATCAAATACAAAAATAAAAATAGTATTAATCGGTTTGTTCAATTCCAATTGATTTAGTTTTAACCGGATGTCTATTCAATTCTTCAATTCAATCATATTAATCTAATTTTTTCTTTAGTTTCACGAGCTAGAAATTGAGAAAGGCAAATAAAGGAGACAAAATATATAATTTTATTGAGACATCATTTCCAGGTGAATTCCTATTTGACTTACTGAAGTGCATAGATTTTTTATCGGGGTTGGAAGGGGTGGTGCATTCAGCAGCAGTCTGACATGCAATTTTTTAAAAGAAAGAACACATGAAACGTCAACAAAAAGGCAAACGCGAAAATTCAAAGAACTAAGCCTAATAAATTTCAGTTCATTAAACAAGTTCAAGATGTTGTTCGATAAATTTGTTGAAAGCTATGACAGCAAAAGAAAAAACTGATTGTATCAAGGCGAAGCCCTAAATGTTCCAAGCGCTTTTAAGGCATGGAGCAGTAATTACATAGAAAAAATAAATGTAAATAAAACTAACGATTTAAAAAAAAACTTGTGACTGTTTGTGAATATCATCCCCCACACGCCATATAAAGTTCAAAATGCTAGATTTTGCTCCTAGTAACATATCAATTATGACAGAAAAGCTTCTTTCGAACGATTTTTAAAACGGATTAAATCTGCGTTAACGCGTTAATAGTGCGATATAATTCGCGCGTTAATTGTCCCAAATTGGCTAAATTGCATTCTTCAAGCCACCATAATTTTACGAAAAATGATCATAGGTGAAATATCTTTTCAATCTAATTAGCTCAACACAGCAATACAATTTGAAAGACTCTAAAAAAATTGTCAGAAATGGCTAGCTAAAAAAGTTAAAAAGTCAAAAGTCGAAATTTGTCTGAAGAAAAAACCCACCCCGAGCAAAAACATTCTGTTACTTTCGTTAAGAAAGCCGGAACAAGACTGCTCGTATATCAGGGCAAAGTCGGGAAAATTCTGAATGTCCGTTATTCCATATCGAATAGTTTTTGGAAAAAGAAATTATTGAAAACCTATAAATTTTGGACAATATCAAAGTGTGAAATGTTGAATCGTATGATATTATTACGATACATCCAATTGGCTAGCTTCAATTCAATTGGAAACTATTTTTGTGTGCGGGATAACTTGCCAAGTTTAATTTAATCTTGTTACGCTCTCGTCAATAGGAAAAAACTCTTGAAAGCGCGCATAATTTAGTCCAGAACATGACCAATTTGGCAATTTTCAAACCCCCAGAATTTTACAAAAACATTTGGAGGTATAAAAACCTTTTTTAATTTGATTTCAGGGTGTCATTATCTTCAATAGGGTTTATAAAGAGTTGTTGTAAACTATTCTTTTGATCGGCAAAAATTGACTGAAAAAAAAACCAAACCGAGCATAAATATTCCGTTTTCTTCAAAAGTCGGACGAACAATAAAAAAAATTTAGATTAGTGGCAAGGTGTTTGCTTCGAAAGATTTAGAGTGAACTGAATAAGAGTAGATTTGAAGGATTTAAAGGTTCTAAATCACTACGGTCTTAGCAGCCACTGGCTGTACGTGCACTTCAATCTCACTGTAACGTTGACCTTGGTAGTCATATAACGGTACGTAATGTAGGAATATAATAAGATAAACTTAATATCCGAACGTACTTTGACCTCTACACTACATTCCTCCTTCGAAATAATTCAATGCCAATAACAATATCAAATAACTAATACTTCTGATTGGCCATAAGCAATCTAATTTATAATAGTTTGGCTGTTTAGCTGCATAACCGTTGGGTAGATATGCCACTATTCTTCCCCTTTTTCATGGATCTCGAATTATTCTAAAATTTGACGATGGTCGTCCTCTGTTATGCTTATGACTGACATCTCGTCAACAATGCCTAAGTCGTCCATTCGCATATGGTACTCTCGAATCGCCGCGAATGTTGATTATATCCGCCAATCCGTGCACCATCGCCGTCGGCTCGATTCCCTCAATGGCAACATTCTCATACGCCGCTGCCAGGCATCACGTATGCTACTCCTGTTGAGTTCCATTTTTTAAAGCTGAGTCATCGTGAGATCTTGGCTAGACCTCGACATTTCAAGTTTGTCAAATTTATTTTGTCAAATTTAATGCGTTTGTCAAATTTAATCTGCGTGCTGCTTTTGAATCTACGAGCCTTGGGTACTGTTGATTCCCTGTCCTTCCGGATTTGTTTTAGCAATTCCCTTCCAACCTGGTCTTTTGCCATCTGTGTCCTGTGTATTTCGGCCTGCGCAATGTTCACCAACTTACCTAACTTATAATTTTTTCGGCTATTCCGAATTGTATTCCCCAGCCCTTGGTATAAAAATTTTAATCGAAAACCGTCTATGACGTTCCCCGCCAAGTCCGTAACTTATGGGTTTCTCGATGTCTGCTTAACGATGCGGCGTAGCTTTTCCAACACGTCGATAAAATCAATCACGTAACGTCGTCCTGTATGTATCCCAGTAAAAGCGACACATCTCTCTATCGAAATACTTGTATTCAGCACGTCTCTTTTTCGGGCTCAGGATCTTTTTTGAGGGGTTCGGTGTTAATAGTTTTTTTACCCTGTCCCCCATACCGATTGTTACGTTGAAACAGTGTTGCCTCCCCCTCTGGACCTATTCACCGTCCTCTGTACGAAGTTCGATGAAGCATCCGGCTGCTTCCCTATATCTTCATCTGATGTATTCCGAGCCGTCCCGACAGCGTTCACTTGGTTTGATCCGACGGTAATTGCTTTTGTAAGCAAACTCTCCCCAAAAAACTTCGGCGGCCCCCTTTCTCTCAATGGACGTGTATTATGGAGAGTGATCATCGTAGGTTGTGTAACCTCGGTCTTATGTGGAGTCCATGGGCTCTTCGGTCGAGGTGCACTCATCCAGTCTTCCTTGACACCCATCGGTTATGGGCCTAGGCAATTACAATTCCCCACTCTAGGGATTCAGATTCTTGAGTATCCATTTCTTGCGAATCAGGGTATTTATCTTCTTCCATATCTTCACCACACTCCTCTGCTGATGGCACTGCCACCGGACTAGTTGGAAACATTGTTGTCTCCATCATGAGTACGCTACCATCTTCTGAGCTCGACTATGGTACAATCCCGCATTTGATCGGTACGTGATCCGACGGAGTCGCGTGAGCTCTTTTGTCGTCCCATTCGAATTAGCCCTATCGGCTAAGGGTCTGGTTTTCCGTAATCTTGCGTTACCTTCGCAGTAAAAAATATCTTCTGGTTTCGATTTTGAGAAAAGAACACAATTTTTGAAGACAAGTTTTAAGTCGAAGCAGAAAACGTGAACGAATGCCAAACCGCAGTTGGTTTGCGATCAAGTGCACTTCAAATGGTGGAAAACCCATTGACTGATGTACTGTAGTTCTAATGTTGTACAGAGTTTCGTTTAAAACGAACAATAAACCCGGCTTCGGTTTCTGAAATGAGTAGGCCATGAGCCTTTCCCAAAAAATGCGTAAACAGTGTTAAACCAGACCCGTGGCTCAATGCATTCCTACCGGCAAATGTTCTGTTGCTTACCAAATTCTCAAATCGATTTAGCCACAAATCACAATCCTTGATCGGTCCTTATCACCCACGGTATAGCATGGAGGATTATAATGCTTTCCAAAAGTTCTGTTATAACCACCCCCGTTGTACACGTTTCTATTTGAACCATAGGGAATTTAGAGAAACGATCGACGCAAATCAGTAAGTACTTATCTGCACCCCAGGTATGAGGCAATGGACCCAAGAAATCAGCTTGTATTTCTTGATTCAGTTCTTCCGTCGGATTCAAATCCGCACTCTCGGTACTGGGTATGACAGAATTTAAATTCTTACCCGATTCAATGCACTCTTTGCAATTCGCCGTGGTTAGTTAAATTTGACGATTCATGTTCATGGGTGGCCACCGAGAGTAACTTTTACAAAAAATCCCGCATCATAAAGGGACACGCATGAATTCGGTGTAAACGAGCCATATTACGGGCTCATAATCGAGGTGGTATAACCAATTTATGTTTCAGAAACAAGATGTCGTTAGTGGCGTGGAATTAAGATGCAAAATGACAAAAGTAATTTCAAAGCTCCGAATCACTGTATAATCTTTTGCTAATAAGGCGTCAATAATGCAATTTAAAATCTGATCAGCTTTTGTCAAGATTGAGATAAACCCAGCGTCAAAAAACAGGATTGATGGGAAAATTTCCGCCGGAATGACGTTAGATTCAGTCGAAGGCTGTCGATAAGAGTTAGTGACAGAATTGGTAATGGATTGCGAGACTTTCGTGGCCTCTTCGACTGGGTGACGGCATATGTAATCAACCAACCGCATTTTCGTACCCGAGATATGTTCGATTACATAATCGAATGGGAGTAATCGGTCAGTCCATCGAATAAGTCCCGTTTGTGTTGTTGTGGAAGTTTTTTCCTTTGAGAGGCAAAATAATAGCGCTTTGTAATCAGTAATTATTCTAAACGGGCCCCAAACAAATAACTGTGATAGTGAGTCACTGCCAATACAACCGCTATTACGAAATAGGCTTCCAGGAATTGTTCCAGGGCAGCCCTTAGGTTTTTTTGATGAGTCACATTTAACTCGTGTTTCTTTCCGTACGTCGAAATGGTGGTTTTGTATGAACTCATCTATAATGTTTTTCATTATTCTAAACGCTTTGTCATGGTTTTCTAATCTTTCAAATCTTGCCTGGTTTTTCAAGAGGTTGCGGAAGGGTACTGTTGCGGCCGCTAAGTTCTGAATAAATCTATTAGATTGATTCAGTAAACCAATAAATGACCTGATCTCGGAAATCTTTTTTAGTTTTTTTCATTCTGACTATCGACTCAGCTTTTTTCCACCGGTACTGTACCGGTTTTCGACAGTTTGAACCCCAATCACTCAATTTCTTCTGCCAACATCATGCATTTACTCCACTTTACCGCGCACCATTATTCAAAACCTTGAGGCGAATTTGATTCAACCGTCTCGTTTTGCCGGTAAAATAAAACAATCTTCTGTGCATTTGCCTAATTTTCAATATGCCCGTCTTGAAGAAACCCCTTTTTGGTTTCTTC